TCCGACTACGGATTGTTGCATACAGAACTCCTTTATTTGTCTCATCAATCTTATAAAAATTAAGTTCAAAAGTGGGTGTCTCTCGATGCTTTATGATATGAGAAACATAAACAACATCAAATCCCCAGCGCCTTTCCATCTGGTGTTTGATAGCTGAGGCGACGGAAGACCGAAATGCAAGCCTTCTGAGTGAGGACCATTGCTTTGAGCTTTAAGGCTTTGGGGAGTATAGGCTTCAGGGGTGTGGCTAGGGGTTCTGGGGCTGTCTTGAACTGTCTAAACTGGCACCGCTCGATCTGTGATTGTTGTTGGCTTGCTGGTCCTGACCGCAACGTAGTTGCCATAGCAAAACTGCTAGAGTCTGCTAGAGGCAAGCACACGCGGTACAACCTGCATGCAGCTGCATGGCTACGAGGTGCATGAAACCACTAACCGCAACATACCACAACCATGTAGGCATTGCCTGTGCTGCGGGTGTCGGAGTCGGAGAGAGTGGGTCGGATTGGAATGGGGTTTCGATGTCCGCATGTGCAAACGCCATGCGATGTTTCAGGCTGGCTTCGGACTTCTGTGCTTAATTAAAGCAAGCTTCGGGGTTTAGAGTTTGAGATCTCTGGTGTTGCAGCTTGGGTCGGTGAAGTTTGCCTTCAGGCCCGTTTCGTGTCATGAGGTTCCTGCTGCTGGCGGCAGTTCTTTACCGGTAGAGAGGGTACGCTGGCCGCTCTGGCAACAGAGGTTCTGTAGTCGGGCCGGAAGAATCTTTACCCCCTGATCTTACTTATATTGCTATATATTATATTCCCCCCCCCTCCTCCCCCTCTGCCCCAAACTCCGAAAACCGTTCTAAATGCGAATGTCCAGGTAGTATCCCACATTTTAGGGCAATGGTTCAGGCCATGGGCCATGTCGCGAAGACATGCGAAGACCTGTGAGTACATCTTTATGTCACGTTGTACACAGTTCACAGAACTACCATCTCATCGCTGACCCAAGCGGAACGCACCGGATTCTTCTTTGCCAACCGAGATTGAGAATTACAGGGTAGAGCCCCTCGAACTTGCAGCTAAGGCTCAGAAATCAGGTTTCAGGGCTGCAACTACTACTACTACTACTACTACTACTACCCTAAACCCCAAACCCTAAACCCTAAACCCTAAACCCTAAACCCTACTACTACTACTTCTACTAAAAGCTCCCAGTGCATGTGAGGAGTGGAAAGGCCGATGGTCGGACAATCATCCCCTGTGGTCGCAGCACCAGGAGGCTCCAGGATGGCTTTCAGATTCGACGGTTTAGGGTTTAGGGGTTTAGGGGTTTAGGGGTTTAGGGTTTAGGGTTTTGGGTTTAGGGTTTAGGGTTTAGGGCTCTTTTACGGGTACTGCAGGGTTCTAGAATAGGGTCCCTTTCAGGGTACTACGGGGTTCGATGAGGGTTACTGCCAGGGTGGGCTTGAGGAGTTCGGAGGCTCAAGCCTTACCTAGGATCCAACGACCTATTGTTTTAAAGGTTGTACCCCATAGCTAAGCGGTGGTCATATCATAACATGTCCCCACGGTTGGAGGCTCAAGGATAAAAGAGCTTTTATAGTCTTCCGTAGGGGTACATGATGTGGTATAGAAAACTCGGAAGCCATAGTCTCATCAGCCTGTGTTCTACACATGGGTCAGGCAACTTGCCACGTGTGCTGATGTGGTTCTAGCCACAATACAAGGGGCAGCGCTACCCCACCCTCCCTAAAGCCTACACCCCTACACCCTTAACCTTACTCAACATTCTGCCCTAAACCCCATCTTGTTGGGCCAGCTGGATTAGAGACTACAAGGAGGATTATGCTACCAAAACCCGACCTAAAAACCTAAAACCAAACCCTAAGCCCTAAGCTACTACACGCTACCACTACCTTCTTGCCTCAAACTCTTAAAACAAAACTCACGAAAGCCCGGAGGTGAAGTCGAAGCTGAGACCGAAGTTCGAGAATGACGGCGTTTTCTGGATGCTCCTCGATGATCCAAAAAGCTCCGGAGGTGAGGGTTTAGTTTAGGGTTTATAGGGTTTAGGGTTTAGGGACTTAAGGTTCAGGGGGATAAAGGCAGCTGGTGAAATCCCGAGCAAGAGTCAAGAGTCCTGGTACAAGGGATCCTTAATCCTACCTACCTTCATCCCACCTTTCGATGAGCTTAGGTTGAACGGTGCCCGGAGAATACAGCTCTCTATACCGTAAGACATACATATGCATATACATAGAATATATGTGTATATATATATATATATATATATGTATATGTATATGTATATGTGTACGTGTGTATCCATATATATATATATATACACACACACAAAACACACCTCTGCGATGGGCGTTTGTCATCCAGCCTTAAACCCGAAATCCAACCTCAAATTAAGCCTTATCTCGAAACCCGAACCCGCACTCGAACCCTAAACCGCTTGAGCCCTGAATCGAGCCCGCAACCCTTCGCTTCTTGGCATGGTGACTCAGGCAGTGGGAGGACTTCCAAAGCATCTTCGACTCCGTTCACATCTGCCAAAAGTCCATGCTCGTAACTTGGCCGTTCAAGCAGCCATAAACGCCCCCGAAACCCGACCCTAAAGATTTAGGAGCCCAGAGAACTTTTTGGACGGCCTTCCTTTTGATCTTCGTACGTTTATGTGGTCTTTCAGGGCTCGGGCAGTATGTTGGGGTTTTAGCTTTTGCAGTAGTAATTATGCTTGTTTCAGGCACGGCTTGCGGGGTTTAGGGCATAAGGGGTGTCGGCGAAGGAGTTTTGGCTTCATTTAGGTCGCCGGTAGGCTTTTAGCAGGTGCTCTTGCAAGCATATTACCAGTGAGACACGGCTCGTTTTTGGCGTAAAAAGTAACTCTAACCTCTGATCCCTAATTTTTAAGCCAGGGAGCAGGTGCAAGTCTAAACCATCACTCGTGCAGATTTGCAGAATGGGCCGGTAGTTTGGGCAAGGAAGTAGCGCCCGGCAGCTAAGTTTTCCGAAGCCTCAGTCTACATCTGTAGTTTAGGATCTATGGTTCACCGTTACGGCTTAGGTTCGGAGTGTAGGGTTTAGGGTCTATGGCCATGGTTCAGGCTTCAGGGTAGAAGCTATAAAGCTCAAGCCCCAAAAAGCCCGAAGCCTTGACAATTAGGCTCAATGCCTTCGTTGGGGTCGGAAACTAAACCCTAAACCCTAAACCCTAAACCCTAAACCCTAAACCCTAAATCCCCAATCTTCTTCTTTTCGAAGCCTGGTCATAATGTGTTTGTGGCCCGCGGCCTCTCCAAACCGGAAACCCTGATACTAAACTTTCGGGATCCGTAACCTTTGGGTTTAGGGTTTAGGATTTAGGGTTTAGTGTTTAGGGATAAACCTTAAACCCTAAAACCCGAAAGCCCTAAGCCCTACACCCTCAACCCTGAAACCCTGATAAGGGTTTAGGGCTTTAGGGTTGGAAGCCCAAGCCCCATAGCCCCTGAGCCCTAAACAGCGTGAGCCTTCCAGAAGCGACAAACCCTAACGGTCCATGTACCCAAATAGGGTAAACTTTGGCCCCAAAGTACCTATATAGGGACGACTTTAAGGCCCCTGAACCCTAAACCCTAAACCCTAAGTTTATGCTGTTTGGGTGCATGGACCCTTATGGAAACTGCAGCAGAGGAGGGGGAGGCGCTTCGACGGTTCCGTGCGGGCCTGCAGGAGCCTTCCTGGCACAAGAGGTTTCGGGTTTACCAGGACCCTCCAATGGCCCCTTAATGGAGCCCTTATGGTTCTTAATAGTGGGTATTTGGGGTATATTAGAGGGTAGTTGGGGGGTTTAGGTAGTAGCAGGGCATTGTAATTAGAACATGGGTTTTCGGGTATACTGTACTATAAGTGTAATAAGGAACACCTAAAATCCCTTACTCTAATTATTACGGCCCCTACATTAGGTATACCATACTATAAGTATAGTAGGGAACACCCAAAACCCTATTCTAATTATTAAGGCCCCTGCATTAGGTTTTTGGGTTAAGCTCAGCGATGTTGCTTCTTTTTCCCCTGAGGGCCCTCAACCCAAATTCATTCCAAACTCTACAGTCTCAAACCCTGCAAGACAAACACCCAAGCTCGCGACAAGAGACCCTAACACCCCAATAGAGGGGACTTGGAAATTACCTGTTCTTTTTTTTTTTTTGGGGGGGGNNTAGGGTTTAGGGTTGAGGGCTGGGCTTTCTGGGCTTTGCAGCAAAGGAGCCTTGACCCGATCCTACGGCCCAAAGCGTCGGTGTTTCGACCCTGCACAGCGGTTCCCCTTAGCTGACAAGACTCTTTCATGGTTCGGGCCCCTGATCCTAAATCCTAAAGTGCTAAACCCCAGTCTTAAAATCTTAAACCCCTCAAGCAACTGTAGCGGCCCTTCGTCGCTGCAGTCCTGCGAAGCCTGCTGCAAAGTCTCCAGCGAAGCCTGCGGCAGCGAAGCCGGCGGCAAAATCTCCAGCGAAGCCTGCAGCCAAGCTTGCGGCCTCGAAAAATCGAGGAAGAGGCCTGCGAAGTTTTAGGATTTAAGGTGTGAGGGTTTCGGGTTTAGGGCTTGCGGGGTCAAGTCGTGCGGTGTGGAGTTTGGGCATCGGTGTACGAGGCCACAGGTTGAACGCAGCTTTTTGTTGGTCCTGTGGCTTTGAAGTTGAAGTCACACATAACCCTTAAAGTCTATAACCCTTAAAGTCTACAACCCTTGTAAAGTACAAAACCCTAAAAAGATATATAGCCCTCATAATTTTTGTAGCCCTTAAAGTCTATAACCATTATGAAACATATAACCCTTATAAGGCATATAACCCTTATAAAATATGTAGCCCTTAAAGCCTAGAACCCTAAACCCTAAA